CAGGGGGTCAGGCTAGATGATCTGTTCAGGTCCCTCCTGACCCTAGCTACTATGATACTATGTTACTATGATTATTTCTGTGAGAGGGGGGTTGGTCCTAGCTCAGTCTCCCCCTGGACTTGCCTGCCATGACTTAGATTGAAAGGGAAAAGAGAGAGATTTAGTGGTATTTTAGGAGCAAGGAATCACCATACGCCACCCAGGTGGTAAACTCTCACATTGCAACCTTTATTTCGCAGCAGGAGGTTACAGGGTTGCAATAGCCTCGCTAATTACTTCATTAACGAGAAAAGCCCGTACAGTCAATAAGGGAACTTAGCACTGGATGCCTCATAGATACTTTGAACTAAACATAGTCCTTGCTGCTAATTGCCTCATTAGCTGAGCACGTTCTCTATGTCTTTCATGAGCCTTGTGCCAGGAGCTGCTCCCGCTGCTCTGTTGTAGTTTGTATAGCCATTTCGGCTCATCGTTGCTGTCCCAGTAGGGCTGGTGGCTTGGTCCAGCTTCTACTGCCCATGCATCACCCTGGGAGCATTCTTTCTCAGAGCTTCCCTTGGTGCCATTTCCCGAAGCCCCAGTTCTTCCCTGCACGCACCGAAGCAGCTGCAGCTCTCGGGGAAGTATCCTGTCTTGTGGCTGACCTGCTGTGCTGTCCTGAGTCCCACGATCCTGGCACCCTTCTGGATCGCAGGTCAGGCTTCTCTTTCTCCCTCTTCTGGGGTCCGGTAGTCCCTCGTCTGTCTTCCACTGCCCAAAGGTGAAGTGCGTTTGCCCAGCCACTGGGTTTATACTGGCCATGGCAGGCTAGTTACTCTGACCTTCCCCTAGTGTGTAACTCCCTTCACCTGGCAAGGTGCATTCTAAGGGTCATCCATGCCTGTAACTATCCCAGTAACAGGGCTCCCGCCTGAGCCCCTGTTACACTTTATTTTCAGGAAATAATATATTCAAATTTACTTTACTTAGACAACTCAAAGGTATTATTTTCCTTTGGCAGACAAGGTTCTTTGGGTAAATCTGATATCTTTTATTGGATCAACTAAATAGTTGGAAAAATTTTTCTTAGCAAGCTTTTGGGTTTAAAAACCCGTTGTCAGGCTCAGGAAGCATCTACACTTGGTGTGTGCTCTTCCTGAATGGAATGAATAGTAAAGAAGCCAAAGGCTGGTATGCATGCAAGAAATTTTCCATTTAGTTTCTTTGCACTATGCTAGGTTTTTTCAGAGTCCTCCTTGTTGTGTTAATTAGTATTAAATATTACTGTCCTACCAAAGAGTGCAAGTTCTGAACCAGGATACCACTATGCTTTGCACTATAGAGACACAAAACAGACTGACAGTCCCTGCCCCAAAATGCATACAATGTAAGCATAAAACAGTAGACAATAGATAAATACAGGCATATTTAGGAACACAAGAAAACAGTGAGTCAGTATTTCCCCACTACATTTGGAGCAGACTGGCAGCCAAACTGTTGTCTAGAATCACAGAAAAGGAGAGTTTTAAAGAAATGGGAGCTCCTCCCAATCATGAAGGGCAGCAGGGGAGAAAGCATGGGCAACTGGTGTCACCTTAGTCAGAGGGTGCACATGCTCCCCCAGAGCGACCAGTCAGTGACCGGGGGAGCGGGGTCTCTCCGCGGCTGATTGCGAGATGGCTGATCGCTGCGGCCGATTGCTGCAGCTGCTTCTGGGAGTGGCTGTGGCTGCTTCTGGGAGCACAATAGTACTCCACTCCCTGGCCGGCGCTTGCAGGGCAGGCACCGGCACTCCTGCCTGCCCTCCCTGCCCATTGCCTAAGCGGTGAGCACAGCTGGTCAGGGGTGCACTGGCGCTCTCAGGGGATGCATGTGCACCCCTGTGCATCCCCCTACACGTTGCCATTGGAAGAAAGTCTGAATTTTGAAAATTTTACAGTCGGGACTCATAGTAGAGATTTTATTAGACCAACAAGATTTTTGCAAAAAAAAAAATCTTTGGCATTGGAGAAATGATTGTAAAAGTTTTCTTGGGTAGAAATGCAAGTTCATATTTCATAGGATTTCACAGAGGAGTCAATAGATGGAAAACTCCTCTGGGTAGTCAGTTCATAACTGATATGGAATCTCTCACCTCCTGTGAGGATCTATGACGATGCAAATTACCTTGAAACAAAGACAGGAGCAGAATCTCAGGTCTCCGGTGGTCACAGTTGCTTCCTGCTTGGGAAAATATGAAGATTTCATTTTTTTAAAATCCGCTAAAATTGGATATCTTACGTGTCAGATTTAAATTTAATGATTTAAAATCTCAATTTCAGATGTAAAGTTAACATGAAAATTTAACAAGCAGGTAGCAAAGGATAGCAAGACAAACTGACTGGAGATGAGAATTGACCTTCTGACTAGGAATTAGAAATGATAGGTAGGGTGGGGATTAGCTGTGAAGGGCTTTGAAATTTTGATGCTTTGATTTATCTATTTATGATAATACTTGAAAATTTAGGGAGCACATCTATAGCTGCTAGAATTAGTGTTAAACTAATGTTTTATTCCTGTTTCCAACAGGATCAAAAGCTACAGTTACACTTAATGGCAAAAGAAGAGCATCATAGGAAACTGAATGAAGTTGAGAAATGCTATGCTACTATCACATGTCAATTTGGAATGATAAAAGGGGCTCATGAGAAATTAGAACAGAATGGTAAATATGCCTTGAATATAGCCTGTCAGTAGTAAGTTCAATAATATTTTTACAATCCTGAGAGTTGAAGTCATTCAGCCCCTTGGAGTATTATGCACTTACAGCAGGAGCTGGCAACCTGTGGACTGGCAGCTGGATCCAAATCTCCCATGAAGGTCTGACTGTCCCACAGCAAATTCTCTATAGCCAGTGGGACAGCTGGGGACTTGTAGGGAATTATGTCCCAGTAACCCAAGTCCCTTACCAGTCTCACTTACCCTCTTGGGAGATGCCACTGTTGCAGGGTGGGAAGGTATCAGCATGACCAGCAACCAGGGGATTAATACAGCCCAACTCCTGCAGCCACATCTTTCTTACCCTGAATTTACTGCTGGTGACAGGAATTGGCAGCATCAGCAGCAGGGATGACTGACAGCAGCTACAGTAGAGGGATACTAGAAGATCCCTACACATGACAGCTGCTGCATTGCCAAGATCTCCCTCCGCAGCAGAGGTGTCTTTCATGGGGAGGAGAGGTGGGGGCACGAGACTGACAAAGAAATCACAGTTGTGCCTTTGTTGGCCATGTACTGGGGTGAAGAACAGGCAGGAGGGTTGTCCAGAAAGGGTGGGGGATTAGCAGCCCACAATGGTGGCTGGGTTGCAAGTGGTGGCCTACTATTGTTAAAAGATGGCCAACCCCTGACAGAGTATTTGACAGAGTACTTTTTCACTTTTGTTAGAGAAAAGAGTATAAGCTGCCATCTGCTTGCCATCAACCAAGAGCCCCAGTTCTGATACAGGTTGTTTTAAATTAAATATATTCTCCATTATATAGAAATAGAAAGAAGATAATATGGCAGGTAAAAAAACAACTCATTAGGTACTGAATAAATAGCCAGTCAACCTCTGTAAATTGTGCTGGAGGTGCCCCCTGCAGTGGCTCCTCTTTTAATATTTTTCATTTTGCCACTTGCATCCCCTGCCCCTGATTGGTAGAGGGCCCCCGCTGGCCAGACTGTTTGCCACTGATCACTGGGGAAGTGAAAACTGTGGCATATTTAAAACTGCAGTTTTCGCTTCCCTGGTGATCAGTAGCAAACGGCCCAGCCAGCTGGACCCCTCCGCCAATCAGGTGCAGGGGGTGGCAGGGGCCAAGTGTCAAAATGAAAAAAAATTAAAGGAGCCACTGCAGGGGGAATTTCCAACACAATTTATAGATATCCCTAAGTATAACCCATCTGCACCTAATGTATGACCCTATTCATGTGTTAAAGGACTACAAAATTATTTGTGAATCTATTGAGGCATAGTTTTATTACACTGAATGCCTATATACTTACTTACATTAAATGTTTTTTCACCAAATGGTACATTTTTTCTTCCATAAAATAGTACTATAGTTAATATGTGTACCTCATCTAAAAGTATGTGCAAGTTTGCACCTGCCTCACTTGTATTAAGTCCCCATTGTTTGCATGGAAGTCATGAATTGTTAATGTAAACCTTGACTTGCATGTATGCATTGTTTAGATTTTTTGTTCATGCATCCATGTGAACAGATTTTTTATGTATATATAGGCTGATTATTTAATATTTTTATAGAAACATTATTTTGAAAAGAAGGGGAAAAACAAGATTCCAGCGTAAAAAATTATAGTCTACCAGTGAAGATTAGTAAATTTTTAAAAATCTTAAGATAACTAGAATTTTAGATTAGATAGTGTACCTTATTTACTCAAATCTAAGATGACCCTGAATTTAAGATGATGCCCCCAATAATTAGATTCCATATCTGGAAAACTTATACATTTTTTATAATTTCCAGATATAGAATCTGGCTGGGCCATGCAGCAGCAACAGCGCTGCTGATTGGCTGGGTAGGGGAAAAAGGTCCCCTTCACTCTGTGCCTAGCCTGAGCTGAGCTGTGCCTGATACTAAGGTGGATGGAATAGGGGGCAGAAGCCATAGAGGGCAAGTGGAGGGGGAACAGGAGGCTACTGTGGGTCTGGCTCTGGCCCCAACCTGGGCTCAGGGTCAGAGTTAGAGCTGCAGCAGCTGCCTACTCCTCCTGCCCCACCGCTTTGTATGTTAATCTGAGAGTCTTTTCCACCTATGCTGGTTGGGATAAAAATCCTCATCTTAGGTTTGAGTAAATACGGTAAGTTCTATGCTCTGTTAACATTCTGGGCATTTTACAGGTTGGAGCTATTCCTCTAAGTTAAGTTTTGACAAAGAACTGTGCCTAATGTTTAAAACAAATGAAGGGAAAACATTGCTATTCTTTTTTTTTATATGAGTTTTTGTTTGTTTGCTTTGTTTGTTCTGTTTTATCATGGAAAGCCCTATTCTTTGCCAATGTAGAAAGCACTTTTTGTGGTTACGTGGAAAACTAATATCTTTCAGTATTTACAAAATATGGAATATATATAAACATATTTTATCAGTAAATGTATTTATCATTATTTCCAGGGTGAACACCTGGAAAAGATTAATATAACAGTTACTAACTGCTTCTGTTCAACAAGAAAATTATCTATTCACCATATTAACTGTAGGGTATCTTTCACTGTAGAGAAAATTCATTTTTATTGCAGTCTATAACAGCCATAATAAGCATGTAGATGTAGATTCTTACCAAGCATCTAATCCATGGAAAAGTAATGTAGAAAGGATAGGAGGTAATTTATTTCACAAACAGCCTTCAATATCTAACTCAGTGCTTCTCAGCTTTTTTTAAAGACTTGAGTCGCCCTTCCAAAACTTTTGTTAACTGGGTGGCACCCATTTAAAATATTTATTTATTTATTATAATGGTTATCTGCTTGAAGACAAGCTAGGAAGGAGGAGAAGCAGCAGGCAGGGAAGAATCCATGTTGTAGTTGGGGTGGGAGAAGGGCATACAGATGGAAGAAAAGAGCCTGCACTTATCTTCTCAATTTTATCTCCCCTCTCTGGGGGCACCATCGAAGACCATCACAGACCCCTAAGGCACTGCAGCACCCTTATTGAGCATTACTGACCTAACTACTGTTTTCAATACAATTCGTATATTGGGTATGAAAGCAATAACTCGATTAAAAAAACCTGATGATTTATATTTTTTGGGAGAGATTCTCTACCTGCTAATGAGTCCCTGGACTTGTAGCCCTGACAGCTTTTAAAATCATAGGATAAAATTCTAGCCTTACCGAATTCAAATGGGATTTTTATCATAAACATTAGCATGGCAAAATTTCACCCATGATATTTTTAGTGTTAGAAAGCTTTATTTTGGATACTTAAGAAGTATTTTAAATTTATTTACAATCTAAAAACCTCTTTCTTGCATAATTCTAAAACTATTAGAGACCTAAGGTGCCGCCCATAAGCCTGTTTATCACATTTTAAGCCCTATTTTATTTGAAATTCAGACACTACATCTAATGCCAAGGCAGAACTTCTCCGGACCTTTTTGGAAAGGAAAAAGGAAATCTATGCAGTACTAGGGACTGTAAAAGGACTGAATAAAAGGGAGACAGGAGATAGGTACAGGTTAGGAAAAGGTACAAGGGATAAAGGCAAATGAACTGACAAGTATATGGGAGTTGGTGGGGAGGAAGAAATCCTGTTTTTTAGATGTAAAATTTTAAAACACTTTGACAGTGACATTTTCACACCAGGTCATGAGCAGCCAGGTCTGGAGCTTCTTGGTAATCAAGGTGCTGCCCAGGGTCAGGAGGAACAAGCAGATTTCAGGGACAGTCCATATCAGGAAGTTGGGAGGGATTAAGCAGAGAATGGAATCAGAGAGCAATCCAGGAGACCAAACAGAGAGGGATTCAGAGCTCAGACTAAAGGGAACAGTAAGACTGAACCCTAATGTCCAGATAGTTTCTGTTCGAGATCAGGGGTTTTTATCAGGGAATGGGTGGGTTAGCTAACCTCAGTCAGCCACTCTAGTGCCAATGAATGGGTGGAGGGTAGGCCCTGTTGGAGGCTCCAGGGGTGTTCTGATGAGTCCAGTTGGCCAGCTGCAGGGTGGCAGGCCAGGATGATTGCCTGTGCTGATCAGGGTGAGGCCCTAACTTTGAGGCTGTAGCCTGGCAAAATCTTAAAGGCAAAGGTCCTATTCTTTTCAATAAGGCCAGAATTGCAATCTTGACATTTTTAGTGTACATAGAAATGGATTTCTTTTCCTCCATTGACTTTGACTGCCCAATACCTTCCTTATCCCACCTAATTATAGCTTCCTCGAGATGCTGTAGCTAAGTACAGAAAAGTAAAAAACGCCGAGGTTGAATTGATTCAGTCTTTGCAGGGTTTTTTTTAAACTGCGTAGCTCAGTGGTTCCCAATCTTTTTGGTACCATGGACTGGCAGGAGTGAGATGGGACCCAGCTGCCTCCCTCCTGGGGCTGCCCCACTGCCCAGCTTTAACCCTGGAAGTTCAGCTTTAACCCCGGAAGCTGCTCGCCCGGGTAGACAGATGAAGGTCTCATGACATGAGCTGGCAGTCAACCCACCATGGCCTGGTACCAGTCCATGGCCCAGTGGTTGGGAACCTCTGGCATAGACTGAACCAATAAGCGAGTGAACTGATGTTCACTTTTCAAATGAGAGGCAGCCAGATCCCTGCAGTGGTCCATATGAATAGCCAGGGGACACTAGAGCACACCTCCCAGCCTGCTGGCCACTGCAGAGAGCTGGAGCCCTCTGATTCCCCAAGCCATACTCCCTTCTCAGCTTCCCTGCTGGATGAACAACAGGTGTGGGGGAAAGACCCACCCCTTCCACCTGGCATTGGATCCCTAGTTGGGAACAGCCTGGGAGGGTGGGTGGGTGAGAAACTGAAACTGGGGCCATTACTCTGCTTCCACTCTCTATCCCCCATCTCCCCTGCAGGGAGCAGGGCTGGAATCTCTTAGCCACACACCCTTTTCAGCATCCCAGCTGGCTGAGGTAGAGGGGGAGGGAAGTCTGCACCTGGGCTTGGCTCTGCCTGGGGCTGGCTGAGGGGAGGTGGGAAGGGAAGCCCACAACAGAGACTTGACACTGCCCCTGGAGCTGGAAGCCAGGAGCCATGCCCACTCCTCAGCCTCCAGGCTGGATTAGGTGGGGAGCCCACAGTGGGGCTTGGCTTCACCCCTGCCTCAGAACTGGGAGTGGGGTTGGAGTCCCCTAATCACGCCCCCTTCTCAGCCTCTGGGCAGGCTGAGGGGAGAGGGGTGGAAGTTGTGGCTTGGCTCCATTCCCCCAGAATTGGAAGCAATGTCCTTTCCTCAGACTTTGGGCTGGCTGATGTCAAGGGGTGGAGGGAGGGGGAAGCCTGCACCAGGGCTTGGCTTTGGCCCCTAGAGCCTTGAACCATGCCCCTTCTCAGCCTCCAGACCACCTGAAGGGAGGGAGATAGAGAAGCCCGCAACCGGGCCTTGGCTTTGCCTTCCAGAGCTGGGAGCCATGCCCCTCTCCCAGTGCAGGCTTCTTCCTCTTCCTAGCCAGCCAGGAAGCTAAAAATGGGGCACGGTTCCCAGCTCCTGATTCATGGGGGCAGGGTCAAGATGTGGTAAAATGTTAATGTTGAAAATTAATGGAGTCAAATCCAGCTAATACTTCACATGTAAGAAATACTCTTTAAAACCCAATATTTCTTTTTAAATGGCCTGCATCTTAAGTCTGAGTAAAAGAACCCACCACCCCCTCTTATATGTACTATAAAGGTTGTGTTCTTTTAAATGCATCTTTGTTTTATTTATTTTTTAAATTGCTAATGAGAAAATGTGGGTGCATCTTAAATTCAAAGGGGTTTAGGTAATGCTTTTCTTTAAAAATGACTCCCTTTTTGAAAACATGAAATTTAAACTATAGAGTGTCTAGCACTTTTTGAGCCTAATTCTGCTGGAGTTCTTTGCATACAACTACAGTAGTTTTGTAGTGTCATATATAAATAAATTGTTAAAATACATTTAACTTAAATAAGTGTTAAAATACATTTTCAACCTTGGCTTCTTTTTTACAAAGAGATTTTAATTTATAAAACCATATGATGCTTTCTTTAAAATATAAAGGTATATTTTGAAAAATGTATTTTTTAAAATTGTTTTTAATTCAAGTGGTAGAAGCAATACAACTTAACAAGAAATTGACATCAGTGAATAAAAGACAAGAGTCTGAAATAAATAATCTAAAAGAAGTAAGTATAATATGAATTTCCCAATGTTTAATTGGGTTTGGTTGCGATATCTACAAGCTATATTAATATTATTAATGAGAATAATATGCTACTACACTGAACTTTTCTTCATAAGGTGGTGTTTACTGAATAAATATAATTATGCAGAATAGGAAAGAGAGCACTCATGCTAATATGTTTGGTAGAAGTAAAAAAGCTGGGGTAGGAGTAAAAAAGCATTTCAGATTGCCTAAAATTGGTGGAGAGTTTTTGGGAGTATAACTGAAGATAGTGGGGAGGAGCAATATAGTTATTGAGGGTAGCTGGCTATTGAGCTCTGCCCTGTCTCTCATACTTGCAGAAACTATAGTAATAGTCATACATCCTCTTTGGATTTTTGCCCTTTCCTAATTAGCTAAGTAAGGCAACCTTGGAGGAGTCTGGGAAGTTATCTCTCTCCTCCTAGAAACCTAATAAAGGGTGATAGGAGAAATGTAAAGGTAACTGCAGGATTTGTAGTGGCCATGTATATTCATTATCTCTTCATATTCCAACTTGTCCTTGTCTCCTTCCTACCTCCATTTATTTGAGTCCAGAACTTTTTTCCCCTTGAACCTGAAGCTTTGAATTGCTGTTGCTCTGATATTACCAGGCAGGTGTTGAGCCCCACCCTTCCTTCCCTGTTTCCCAGATGGCTGCTATGTGAAATTACATATGCAGGGGTTGTGAGACTGTTACTTGAAAATGTGAAGCTTGGTCAGTGGAGGACAAAGGATTAATTACAATTTCAGTCTTTTTAACTGATCAGGAATTGGACATTTACTCACCCTTGCTTTTCTGAAAAGTGAGGTTGATGAGTACAACAATGCTTTAAAATTCTTTTTAGTATTGTTTTCATTGTTTACTAGAACACACAACTTTTCATTGTTACGATTCATTGGGGTATAATGCCTTTAAAGACTTGGTTTAGAAATGAGATATATCTTGAGATCCAGACAGTTTAATTGATGAAGTCCTTTTTTCATCTATTTGATTCTTGTAATCTCTAGTTCTTTGCCCACTGTAGACATTTATTTTATGGGTATAGTTTTAATAAAAGCAAAGATAAATCACTAATTATACGTGAGGGCTTTTTTGGTCACATATTGGAATGTAATAAGACACACCTTGAGCATGCAAAACAATCAAGTTCCAAAATGACCGTTTGATCCAAGAGATTGTATAGCTCCTGCCATCATTAAAAACAGACTGAGAAACTTATTAACAATAAAGCAGAACACTGTGGAATTATTGACATGGGTGTGTAAATCATGAGAAGGTTTTATAGCTTTTAGAAAAGGTTTCTGCTGTGCAAATATATTATTCAAATAATAATAGCTATATACTAACAAGTAAATACTCTAGGAAAACAAACTGAAGTGGAAGATTTTTTTTTTTAAATGGTCTGTCCCAATAATGCTTTGTAGGTAAATAATTTTCCTCTGAAGAACAATTTTGATGCAGGTCAAACATAGAAGCCTTAATTTTGTAAAAGTATTTTGTAATCTGCACAAGATAGCATATCTTCTCATGCTATATCAAGAACTGTGTGCATGCTAAGAAAAGTGGCATTTCATAATTGAAAGTGAAAGATATACACTATCATTGTGATCTGATCTTGAACTCTCCATATACTTAAGATTCATAAGAAACCTCAAATTCTATAAACATTTTTGCATAATGGTAAATTAGACTTGTTTCTGATTAAAAGAAAATCAAGAATAATTGTATTTACATTTGTTAAGATGTAATGTAGATAAAATTGTATTGTGTATATCAGAAGTATCCAAAAATAAGTAATGTAGTATAAATTAGTAGAATGTTTCATCTCCAATAATAAAATTATTTAATAAATCAGTACATTTTTTCAAGGATTTTTTCTTGAGGTTTAAGGTCACAAATGAAAAGAGAATATTTTTATAGATGCAGAAAAAAGGGCCATTTCAGACTGTTTGGTTTTTTTGTCTTCTGACTGCCAGGAAATACTTTAATAAAGTATCCTGATATTTTGTGAATGTCTAATTAGACTTTACTCTTTAAGTTTTTCACTGTTCCACTTTGAACACTGGTGGATTAGCTACTGCCACCAAAAAGTAAGCGTTTGTTCGGTTTTTTAAATATAGTTTTACAAAGGAAAAGCAGTATACAGTTGAATTAAATGAAAAAGAAATAATTTGAAGTCAGGAATAATGAGAATCTAATATGTTTAGTCATATAACCACAAAGCTGTGAACAGCAAAAGTTTCTACTTTCAAAAGAACACCTAGAATTGCTTCCTTAGTTCTTTTTTTTCCTTGAAAAAAGATTCAAAACTGAAAACCTGATAAGCTTTTCTATTTTATATGTTTTATGCAAATCTTAAGATACAGACGCTGTTTCCTTGATAATTATGTTTAATGACAATTTACTAGCCACTGTAAAAAAAACCAACAAAAACCAAAAACCAACAACATTTGATGGCTATTTTTATCAGATATTTTGAATTTCAAATAAAAACTAGTGAAACTTTTCAACAAAAAAATCCAGTTATTTCTGCAATTTAGCAGTTTCCTTGCTCACTTCTGGTGAGCAAACAGGTTATACTATGGGTTACTTCACATCACTCCTCTACACTTATGATGGGGCTTGTCAACCCAGGGCATTTTCTGTTTGCTGCTGCCTACAGACTGCATTGTCTTGGAAACTGTATTTCCTTGACTGAGATGGTTAAATCAGGGACAATCCTGCCTTAAGGAGGGGGCTAAACTAGATTTTCTCATGGGGTTCCTTCCAGCCCTACTTTCTGGATTGCCTAAGAAGAAAATAATCCTATGATTTTACAAGCTAAAAAGAAGAAGCATAATGACAATGACTAAATAAGAAGTGTCCTGAGTCCAACACTTTTTCCCTGTGGTCACTTTGGGCATCTACATGTGCGCTTTAATGCGCATAATGTAGATTTTAATGTGTAGTAAAGCATCACTATGGGCACTTTTACACATACTCTGGGGGTGGAGAGGGCAACACTTTCATTAGAGTGACTCCAAGAGCTGCTCTAATTAAAGTGCCACAGTGTTTCATGTACCAGCATCCCTGTGCTTCAAAATGGTGGTGGGGACACTTGAACTAAAGCTAATTTGACGATCTTTAATTCAAGCCCGCCACCACCATTTTGAAGCTTGGGGATGCTGATATATGAGACATGGGAGGCTGCTGGAGCGTGGCAATTATCATGCTCCAGCAGACTCAATTAATCGAGTCTGCTGTTATTACAGTATGTTGGAGCAGCTTCTGCGCTCATGTGCAGGCACCCTGATTGCGCTTTTTAGTTAATGTGCATTAAGACAAGCTAATGTGCAGTTTCCTATTACATCACTAGATTTAATGTGCATTAACTAAAGCATAGCAATGGATGTGTAGACACTCCCTTCATGCTTACTTAGCCAGTGCCAAGTGGTTACAAAGTGGTAAGACTATTCCCCCTTTTGGAGAATGCCCTTGTTGCGCATTCTAGGTGGCATCTGCAAGATATAAAGCCAACATGACAGAAGATATTTTTTTAAAGTTTAGGAGAGTCTGAGAGAATATTCTGCACCCTTGCTCTATTAGACCCTGTTACTACAAATTGCAAAGGAGTGCTTCCATCCCAGGAACAATTTGAGGCAATTCACATGGCTGCCTTAACCTGCTTTCAGGGTTGAGATGGCTTCTAATAGCCACATTAACTTCTGTAGGTGCCAGCTGCCCCACAAAGTCCCTGTGTCAGCCTCTGTGCTGAAGTAGAAATGAATTTCCTGCTTTATCTACTAGACGTACTGTCCTGTCAGCTAGTCTCACAACCATTAGTATGTTTTGCTTTTACCTTACTTACTAAGGTGCTGTCATTCAGTTACTATTGGCAGGAGTCTAAAGTTAAAGAGTACAATTTAACTTAACAAAGTAAACTTATCTTGAAGATTCAGGGAATGAGGCATGCAGATCTAGGGATTAGATATAAAGCTAAGGTTTAGCTGCAATAGATCCTGGATTTGGTTCGGGCAAGCATATCTGCCACATGGAGAATTAGTACCATTGGGTGTGTCTACACAAGATGTTTACTCTGCAGTGGACTAATTAGCTCCGCAGTAAATGTCTTGGCATCTATGTGTGCGCCCCTGTTAAACTGGAGAGAACCAATTTACTCTGTAGAGAACCGATTTATTCCTTCTGTGGAGTATTCTGCAGCAGCACATGTGTAGACACTGCACCGGCTAGCTGGGGCATGAGGGTGCTTCAGTGTGGGGGCTACCTAATGGCTAGCCCCATGCTGAAACACCCTCATGCCCCAGCCAGCCCCTCTGCACTATGCTGAGCTGGGGGAGCAGCCCTGGCTGGCAGGCTGACCCCCTGAGCCCCCTGCCAGCCGGGCTGCTTTGACCTGGCTCAATGTGCTGCATTCCCAGGTGCACATTTAAATGTCAATAAACTTCTGGGCACATGTTAAAATGGCATGCCTGGGAGCAATAAACTCCGGAGCAATAAACTCCATAGTTTATAGCTTCGCATTAATTGCATGTATAGACACGCCCATTGTTTCCTAGATGCAGTGGAGGTTATTTGTTTGATTACCAAAACTTCTAGTACTGGCCTTGGAATACCCAGAAGCTCTAAAAACAATTAGTTGTACGGCCTGGGGAGGATACAGTCTCCTGACCTGGACTCCTTACAAGTACAGACTTGATCATTTGTCTTAACAGGTCCTGTGGCAATAGCTTTTATTTGGATTTTGGTGTTAGCTATTATATTTAGGGATTTTTTTCAAGCATTTGGTAATTATTGTTTATGAGACTCATAAATGGAAACATGGCAAAGATAAAAGCAGTTAGAAGCAAGCAAGCAAACAAACAAATAACCTTGTTAAGCAATGCTTGAAAAGTTTATCACAGAATTAACCTTTCAGCAAGATGATAGTTTTGGGGAGAAGGCCATCAGCAAAGTCAAAGATTTGTCTAGTGCCTTATCTACCTTAAAAACCAAGAGGATGAAACATACTATTTTTACATCACTTTTATAAGGGTTTTTTACTTGTATGGATTGTTTACAGGGTTCTGAAGAGAACCAATATCTTATTGCCAGTAGGAAGTTCAAAGGGGAAAGTTAGAAGCAGCAGCAGAAGCCCTGGGATTCAGACATGGTTACCTTAGGAAGAAAATGTTTTATTTGTTTGGTTTTTGTTAACATTTAGAGGATTGCCTTTGCAATGATAAAAGTATACACATATTATTATTTTTATTTTAAAACTTTATAATTATTCATAAATTGACCTTTATATCCCTTTCACTTCAGAAAGCTTTCCACTTGCTTCTGGCAAGTGGCTTTATCTAGATCTGATTTCTTTTCTCTGTTCATAAGAGAAAAAAATATTACCACATCTCAGGCTGATGATTGGCCTAAAATGTACATACCCCACAAGCTAGGAAGGATTTCCATTCTTCTCATTAAGCTCCATGGATACAATGTGCATAACATGATTTTTTACATAACACAATAAGAAACAAGGATCTAATTGTGTTCTATGTAGATTTTTTTCTGTGCGTGGACGCTATCCCTGAATTTTAGAAAATGTTAAGTGGTGGGCCCAGAGAAAGTGTTTGCACCTGCTTGAGTATTGGACTTTATAGATCACAAAAACCTTATAACTATCTCCTAAAAACAGCAAAGTCAGATGATATATTAAAACTTGGCCAATGTTCCCTTCTACTAACACCCGCTTTGACATTAAATTTTGCGAATATAATTTATTTCTTGCTGTATAAGCAAATAATAGTATTATACTATTTTTATGTGAAAAAAGGAAATATCCTAACTAGATGTTACACTACAGATTACTGCAAAGTAATATTATACTCTTTAAGAACTTTTAAATTAAACAACGATATTTTGTCCACATTCAGTCACTTTAGACTCATTTAGAACAACAACATATAAAAGCTAATTATTGGAAAAATGAGAATATGAATGTATTGACTAGTTTCATTCATATAACTCTATAGTCATGATTTTTAAATACAAGATAATCTTCATTTTTCTTTTGTACTGTTATATGATTTTGTCCAGAACAGTTAAACCATTGCTTTGTGATAAGATGGAATTCCAGTTTTGTGAAGAAAAGTTAAACAGACCAAACTTAGTTGCTAGATAAAACTATTACCATTCTGAATGCTTAGTTCGCCACTATGGCATCATGAAGAATTCTTGATACTATCTGTGAACAGCATTCATAACCTCTGCTATTTGTCTGAGTAAACGTCAGAGCGCTCAAGGAGAGAGCGATATTAAACAGACTACCTTGTACCAGAAAGGGAGGGGTGGGGGAGAAAAGGGAACAATATTTATGACTCCAAGAACTATAAGTTGTAATTTAATGAGATCAAAGCATTTGCTGTTTATTTGCTGCACTAGCAGCTTTGAATAAACTAGTTAGAAAACAGACACTGAAAAAAGCTCAGGATATTTAAAAGGTTGTAAGACTATGAAATCAAAGGCATATTTTAAATGGAAAATCATGTTGTAGAGGTCTTTAATATTAATTTAGTATTCCCTTGAGATTAAGTAATTAATGGTACAGAGAAAGCAAAGATCCCCAAAATGTTTTGTCAGTTCCTACTTTTACCAGATATCCACTGCTCTTCCTTTTCCCCCTGCTGTTTCCCAAGAGTACACAGCAAGACTCACTGGTGGACTCATGGAGGACCGTGCCTGTTGTGTGGCTCAACATTGGAGTTTTCTGTCAGTATCAACTATTATAGTGGTGGCCAACCTTCTTGGCAGGCATGGCACTCTGAAGCCTTTCCCCTCCCTGTTTTGCTACTCTGCTTTTGCTTTCTGCCCTATGCTCTCTGCCCAGGGCTGGTCCAAAGGTAATTGGCACCCTAGGTGAACTGTGTACCTCGGCGCCCCCACCACTTCCAATGTAGAGGAAAATAAGAAGTCTAGAATGAACTTTTATGGCTCAGTGGGGAGAGCAGCCTGGAAACTGGACCCTGCATCCCCACCGCCAGCCCGGGTTCCGGCTCCGGCCCCATGGGGTGGGTGCGCTGGGTAGGAGTGAGGGGCACCCCTGACCTGGGGGTGGGGGCTGCAGGTCAGGAATAAGGGGCATTAGGCGGACTGGGGGCAGGGCAGGGCCGGTCCAAGGTGGAGCCATAGCCAGCCAGGGCTGATATTTAGAATTATGTTCCTGTTATTTTGTTCTGCATATAATTTTGGCACCCCCTCCCCTTCCCCCAAATTTTGCCACCCTAGGTGACTGCCTAGTTCACCTAATGGTTGGATCAGCCCTGTCTCTTCCCCCATCTGCTGCTCTGTTTTCTGCATCCTGCCCTATCCGCCGCTTTGCTGCTTGTCCTTTCCTGATCTGATGGATGCCGCACACAGAGGCTGCCTGTACTTTTTGTGGCACATGTGCTTCAGGTTGTCCACTCCAGAACTATAATATGACTCATTGTCCACTTCTTTGACTTTCCTACAAAGAGATAGTAGCAATATTTATATACCCTTTCTTGGCAGGACAAGGTTTAAAATATGTTATTGAAAATGATATACATTGTATACAATATCTGGTAAAATTAACATAACTCTTCACAATGAAAAAAACTTTAACCCCTGGTTAAAATTTAACCAGTCATTACTATTAATGTAATTTGTATTACTTAATTTCATTTACTTTGGTGTTTCCATTCATTTTTCTTTTTTTTTAAAGAGAGGGCAGGAGTCAGGATAGTTTAAAAGATTTGTCTTTGTTGTGAGTTGAAATGCTGATACTGGATTAACTATTTATGCATGTTTCCTGTGTTAAGGAACTGAAGAAAGTAACTACAGACTTGATAAGGTCCAAGGTCACATGTCAGTACAGGGTGGGAGAAGAAAACATCAATCTTACAGCAAAGGAAGAGCAGTTACAAGAACTACAACAAAAAATTAGAATGGTATTTCAGGAAATTTAACATTTGTTAGCTAATGCTTCCTTTAATAAACAGCTGTAATGATTTCTAACTTACACATTCAAATTGTTACATATCTTATATGATCTACGTATATTTTGTGACAAAACTATTGGGTATTATATGTTACATTTTCTGAGAAACTCAGTGTATTAGGACTATAAAATATTATTTTGTTGTTAGTAAGATTCCATTTCTTTAAAGTACTAAATCTTAACCTTTAAAATAATTATACAAAATGATAGTTGAATATAGGTTGGTTAAAAATAGCATTGTCTAATATTGAAGATCATTGAGTAATATTTCTGTATGTTATCTTTTGTTAAGGAGTCAGTGATTAGTAAAAGAGTCAATGAAGAAAATGCGCACATTAGAGAGGAGAAACAAGTGAGTTATAAATATTATTTTTCATTTTAAAATGGATTAATACTTCTGATTAGTATTTTAAGTTTTTATAGAAACCTATGCTAAACTATTAAAAAAGTAATTATTAAAACAATTACTTTTAAAAAGAGACTTACTGGTACTATACATATAAACATGATCTTAGTTTCTGCTTTATAAGAAATCAATTAATAGGACAAAGTAAGTTTTGCATTAACTTTTCAGCAATACATTTCCAAATCTTCATTTACTTGAGATCAGATGCATGTAAATCTGGCATGCCACTGAAAATAATATTCAGCAAATTTTTTCCATAAAGTTATACAGGAAGGTTTGTAAAACTTTCTCCTTCCTTCTGACAACAGTACCCAATGAAATTCTTGTATCTCACTGGCAGCCCAATTAGGTAAAATTGGAATCATGTGTCAAACATCTAAATGAAGTATTCAGACACACATTCTCTGTAACAGCAGCATAGTACTCTGCTTTTCAGGGTATCTAGTGAAAGAGTTATAGAACACTCCCACTCCATAGGTCATTAAAATCAAGCTTTTGAAAGTGATGTACTTGGTCTCAGGGAGGTGAAGGAGCAGAATGCTGACCACATTATCCACTGAACACCCTTTAAAGGCTGACTTAGTGACAGAGACTGCATTTTGACTTTGAAGAACACTCACCATGAAATATTAGAAAAAGCAGGTACTACATGCTTATGAGAGTTTAGCTTCACAGTTACCATGATTCTGAGTTGTATCAAGAACAGCCCTGTAGTGAGTTTTCAGTCTAATGCACATGTGTGTGTTTTCGTTATTTGGGAAGACAGGCAAGTATTCCCATAGTTAAAGGTGCATACATTTTAGTTTTACCTGTTTCTATTATTAGTTAGGTTTTTGAATTGCTAGTTTTTGTGTTTAGTGTTCCCTTGTCTTGATATCAGTCACAAGACGGGAACTGTAGGAGGAAATGTTACTTAATTATAGGAAGAAGTTTAGAGTTCTGTCTCATATTTCCTCCATTTCCCCATTTGTGTTAGAAATCTTTCATTCTGTTAATGTACAGAATGCTGAAAAATCACTCCTTGCCCCTAAATAAGTTAGCAAATATGCACTATAGTATGCACATACAGGTGCAGAAGGACAGTGTTACCTAGTGTAGTAGTATACACTGCACAAGACTCAGAAGACATGAATTCCATTTTAAATTATGCTTCTGATCTGTGAGGTTGACCTTAAGTAAGCTACTTCACAACTCTGTGCTTCAGTTTCATATCTGTTGAATGGGGTTTCCCTTCCTTTGCAATGTACTCAGCCAGGCATTATTATTTGTTACATTTATGCACAAGGGCATATACAGTTTTTTTGTTGAATAGAGCTTCATTTTCTGTTGGACCTTCTCTGATTTTTATTTTGGGCAAAACAGTGTTGGCACTTAGCTATTTGGTTACCCAGTTTTGCTTGCAAAGAGACTTCTGACAGTGTCTTTGGGGAACTACAAACTGGGTAGCCTCACCTCAGTCCCTGAAAAAATCATGGAGCAGGTCTTCAAGGAATCCATTTCTAAGCACTTGGAGAAGAAGGTGATTAGGAACAGTCAGCATGTATTCACCAAGTCAGGCCAACCTGATTACCTTCTGTGATGAGATAACTGGCTCTGTGGATGTGGGTAAAGCCATAGACATGACATACCTTGACTTTAGCAAGGCTTTTGATATGGTCTCCCACAACATTCTTCCAAGCAAGCTATGGAAGTATGGATCGGATAAATTGATTGTAAAGTGGATAGAAAACTGGCTGGATTATTGGGTTTAGAGGTTAGTAATCAATGACTCGATGTCTAGTTGGCAACCAGTATCAAGTGGAGTGCCCCAGTGGTTGGTCCTAGGGCTGGTTTTGTTCAATATCTTCATCAACACCTTGAAGATGGGATGGAGAGTACCCTCAGCAAGTTCATGGATGATACCAAGCTGTGCAGAGTAGTGAATACACTAGAGGGTAGGGCCAGGATTCAGGGTGACCTTGAAAATTGGATGATTGGACGAAAAGAAATCTTGGGTTCAATAAGGACAATGGGGATGTGCGAAACGGGCCATGTTCGATTCGGATTCGGCCCAAATTGGGGGACAGTGATTCGATTTGTTGATTTGGATCACTGTCTCAGTTCAATTTGGCTGAATCCAAATCTGAAGATTCGGTGCTGATGTGGAGAATCAGTGATTCGGTGATAGACACAGCTTTATATATTTTTTCTACATACCTTGAGGTACCAGGCACGGCTCGTGAACGCTGCAATGGTGGGGCGGATGGAACGTCTCACAGGAGTGCAGAGGGGCCCCCCATGTGCTCGGTGGCAGGTCTGGAAGTGGACCAGAAGTACTTCTGATCCACTTCTAGGTCCACTGCCAAGTGCGTGGGGGACTCTCCACATCCCCTGGCTTGGCAATCAGCTGTGGGGGGACCCCAGGTGCCCCCCCAACCCAAGAGGCACCAGTCACTGAGACGGGGGGGGGGGCCAGGAGAGGGTCTTCCACATGCTCTGCGGCAGACCTGGAAATGGATTGGAAGTGCTTCTAGTCCACTTCTGGGTCCGCCACCGAGCGTGATGGGGACCCCTCCGCACTCCTGAGGGATGCTCCATTCACCCCAGCATCTCAGCATTCACAAGCCACCTGGTACCTTGAGGTATGTAGAAAAAACATTTAAAGCTGTGTCTATGTCCAAATTATTGAATTTCTCTTAATCACCCCAAATCGATTCAATTCAGAAAGATTAAAGTGTCTCCTGATTTGATTCGGATTTGGAGATTCAGCTGCTGAATCAGGCCGAATCTCTGCCAAATCAAATCAGCGACTGAAGCTTTGCACAGCCCTAAAGGACAAGGGCTAGGTCTTGCACTTAGGACAGAACAGTCCCATGCACCTGTACAGGCTGGGGGCTGACTGGCTGGCCAGCAGCTCTGGAGCAAAGGACCTGGGGGTTACAGTAGACAATAAACTGAATATGAGCCAGCAGTGTGCCCTTGTTGCAAAAAAGGCTAATGGCATACTGGGCTGCATTACTAGGAGCACTGCAGCAGATCAAGGGAAGAGATTATTCCCCTGTATTCAACACTGGTGAGGCCACATCTGGAGTTTGGTGGGTGAGTATACACACAATGCTACATCACTGTAGTGACATGCTACAGTGACATAGTGTCTATGGGTGTCTACATGTGATCAGCAGCTATTTCGCTGTAGTGGAATGCTAACCCATAATAGCATGCTGCTATGGCAAAGTAGGTGCTAAAAATAACCATGCACAGTGCGTATGGTGCAGTATGGGCAGTTACTGCGCCATGTTTTAGTACTTCCAAGAGGAAATACTAAAGCACAGTGCAGGAACAATGTTGCCATAGGGCAATGTGTAGATGCACCCTGTGTCTAGTTTGGGGCCCTCCACTATAGAAGGATGTAGACAAACTGGAGAGAATCCAATGGATGGCAACAAAAGTTGTTAGGGGCCTGGGGCACATCACTTCTGAGGAGAGGCTGAGAGAATTGGGCCTATGTAGTATGGAAAAGAAAAGACTGAGATGGGATTTAATAGCAGTCTTCAACTATCTGAAGGGTGGTTCCAGAGAGGATGGAGCTAGATTGTTCTTAGTGGTGGCAGATGACAGAACATGGAGCAATGGTCTCAAGTTTCTGCAAGGGAAATTTAGGTTAGATATTAGGAAAAACTTTCTCACTGGGAAGGTAGAAAAGCACTGGAATGGGTTACCCAGAGTGGTTATAGAATCTCCATCATTGGAGGTGTAAGACCCAGCTAGGCAAAGCCATAGCTGGGGTGATATAGTTAGGGGTGGTCCTGCTTTGAGCAGGGGGTTGGACTAGAGGACCTCCTGAGATCCTTCCCAACCCTCTTTTTCTATGATTCTCTGTGTATATGGAAAAAGCTAGAAAATGTTCAAATTGGAAGATTTTTTTAGAAATAAAGGGAACAGTTTGGCTCAAGGGTTTGCTTTTCAATACCAGCCAACTTATAGACATAACAATATTTTCCATTCTGACTCAGCTTTGTCTACATATTTCATCTGCACAAATCATTTACTTGTTGCTGCTTGCTGGATATGTTTTTAGGACTGTGTTCTGTAGGTATTTGTGTATATTTATTGCTTGTTTAGATCATTCTTTCTATCTTGGCATCTTCAGAAATGTATTTTGCATATTGTTTCATGTTACAGTTTTCATTGTCCCCATTCTATCTGTTGTTTCAATTAGCTAATCATTTTTTTTGTTATCACAACCACCATTTAGTTTATTTTGCAAGGATAATGGTGATCACCTTGATCAATTTACATTCTCTAAGATAGTATCAGTTTTACACCTTAATCAACCAGTTATTTGAGTGGTTCTTTATTTCAAAGCTTTTCTTTTTGGGATGAGAATATTCTTCAGAAATAGTTACAGTGCTGCAGTTTTTAAATTTCCATCTCTCCTACAGATTTTTTTCTCTTAGGCAGTGTGCATTACATTCAGTAACAATTAATTATTATTGTTATTCAATAACAGTAATGCAGGTCTATGGCAGAACACGGACTGCAGACAGAAGTGCAGCTTCCTGCTGTAACTGAGAACGCTTTGCAGGAAGTGTTCTGAATTGCAACAATCACCTGAAACAAACAGAAGTTCACTGTTGGTTGTGGCCGGGGTGGGGAATCTGCCTGGGAGACTGCAGCTGCTTTCCCCTAGCAACGGCCCCTCCTCCCTGTGAGACTGCAAAGTTTTCAGAATAGGAGTGGGGAATGGGAGCAGAGGAAACTCATTCTAGGGGTTTACCAGCCAGTTCTGGAAGGTGGAGTGAGTGAATTGGAGCACTCCCACCTCAGGGGGGGCTCCAATACACTGGCCCCACCCTCCAGTGGGGGCTAAAAAACACCCAGACCAAAATCCCTCTGCTCCCTTTCCTCTCTCCCATTCTGAAAACAGTGACATGCTGGACAGGCAAGCAGACAGTTACAAAAGATGCTCTGTTTTGCAATGTCTTTATTTGACTCAAGCAATGAGGATTCAGCTAGCTGTTTGGTACTATGCACTGGGGTTGGAAACAACCCATGTACCTCAGGGTATTGTGGGTATTGTATAGTCATTTAGTAAAGCAAATACTAAATGACTGTGCAGTAACAATCGTATAGTCTGGGGAACACGTAGATGCACCCAGTTACTCATAAGTGTAGTTCTGTTGAATTTGATGAGAATATTATTGTAAATTGGGGGCTTACAATTTGGCTCTGATTTTTATCTTGAAATTAAAATGCTTGTGTGTGTTGTTTTATTAATTCTTAAGAATTTCTATAGTATCACTATAGATCATTGGTAGCTATACTCCAGAAAGTTAAGATTCTAAGCACAAAGCTGAACCCCAAACTGTATCACAACGTTCTGATATATTTGTTGAGATATAATGTACTGCTACTGTGTATAAATTTTGGCCTTGATTCCAAATTCAGGAGATAGCAGAGTTAGAAGAATGTCTTACATTTTTCAAGATGGCTGCTGATAACTTTTACATGCTTCATCTTGGGGCTTTCCAGACTAACACTGTGAAATGACTCTGCTAAATCTGCTGTATTCAGATTCAGGTTGAATTTGACATGTTTAAACATGTCTTATTCAGACTGGCCTAGAATTGTTACTTGACTGTTCATCTAGTTGTATAATATAAGATAATATCTTGAAGAAATTATACTCTATTATATTTTCTCACAGACAGTATACAGAGAGGAGTTGAGTTGCTATTCCTTTCTCCCCTAATTTCTTCCTCCAAACTAATTGTGTTGATTATAAAAAGGAAATATAACAATTATATTCATCTTAACTATGTAATTTGTTGACTAAGAGAAAAATACATTTGCTAATCAAAAATATAAACTATTTGTAATAAATTGGCATTATTTATTTAATACTCAAACTTTGCAAACTAAAGCAGTTATTTAATATTCTTTGATTTATTATTTTCATAAGGAAATTATGAGATCTCTACAACATATGCAGCAGCTGCTCCAGCGACTGACCCAAACAAATGTCAGATTGGAAAGTGAATTGAATGCACTGAAGGCAAACTATAAGGTCAGATTATTCTTGATTATAAAATATGCTAGTAGCTGCTGTAGTGGAGAGTTTAGGACTATTAAAGACATCTGCATGCTTTTCAGAACTTTTGACCTCTTTTTCACTGCTCCCTCAGCTCCTTAACTGTCAGCATAAACCTTGAAACACACCCCATGGTTCTCCTGTCCTGAATACCCCCCCCCCCCCCCAAAAAAAAAAGTTTTTAGGCCCGTTTCT